TGCATATTATGTCGAACTGGCCTCCTTTAAGTCAGAATAACTTCCCTGCACCCACACACAGGTTGCAAAGCCACTTGTAGGCCCATGTGATTATTTTCAGGCAGACAAGTTGGGTGTTGAGGGGAGGTGTCAACCAGGCTCTACTAGTAACATGGATTGGGGATCCCCATTATTTTCACATATGTTCAAAATTCCAGGACCACTCAGGATTGAGGTCCTGGAATCTCAGGATTATCCTGATTATCTCCAGAAATCACACCTTTGGACTACAGAACACTTCCCAGGTCCATTTGTTCTTTGTATTGCCAGCCTTTGGAGAACGCAAATACTCTGGTATTTACATAGATCTATTTGGTGCTGCCATTGTAATGGATCACTTGTGACTCTGAACTCCCAGTTTCTTCACCTTGCTTGTCTTACTGGACTTTGACATGACAGTCAATATCATGTACCAGAGATATTGGGTTGCAGCCAGTTCTGCTAGGTTACTTAGTACTGTATCAGGTGCAGGTCACTCATCACCACAAATGCCCAGCAGCTCTCTGGATCAACAGAAACTCAGTTACAGTCTCCATCTGGAAATAGGGATCTTACAGTCTCCATCTGGAAATAGGGATCTTAAACCTCAGATTACAACTGAGGCCTGCGTAAACACAGACTTTCACTTCAGGTCCTCACATAGCACCATGTAAAATTTTAAAAGGTAAAGAATTTGCCTGCATTTATAAAGAAAAAAAGCATGGAAAGACCCCAAACACATCAGAACTTTCTAAACTCTCTGACAACTTATGTGCAAGAACATAAAGATGTGCAGTATATTGAGGAAATCTTGAAGAGAACATAAAAAATTACATAAATATGTGAGAAAGCAATGATAAAACTGAACTAAAATGGTAATTTAACTAAAAATCATATTATAGAGGTTCAATAGAAAAATATCAGAAGTTTGGAGTCAATTCAGTGAGTTTGAGAATAAGTTAGAGGCAACCACCAGAATGAATTGAAGGTCAGAGCAACAGAACTTTTTTTAAATTTTATTGAATGACCAGGAGATAGTTACAAGTTTTCATGTTTGGGTTATAATCACACAATGATCAAACACCCATCCCTTCACCAGTGCACATTCCCCACCACCAATATCCCCAGTATACCCCCCTTCTCACCCTCTCCCTGCGCAGACAATATTCCCCATAGTCTCTCTCTCTCTCTACTTTTGGGCATTATGGTTTGCAAATACAGACATTGAGAGGTTATCATGTTTGGTCCTTTATTCCACTTCTGGGAATATATCCCGAGGATGCAAAAAAGCACAGTATAATATATTCATTGCAGCACTGTTCACAATAGCCAAAATCCAGAAACAAACCAAGTGCCCTAGAACAGATGACTGGTTAAACTTTGGTACATCTACACAATGGAATACTCTGCAGCTGTTAGGAGAGATGAAGTCATGAACTTTGCTTATAAATGGATAGACATGGAGAGTATCATGCTAAGTTAAATGAGTCAGAAAGAGAGGGACAGACATAGAAGGACTGCACTCATTTGTGGAGTATTAAACAACATAACATGAGGCTGACACCTAAGGATAGTAGGTACACGGGACAGGAAGATTGCTCCATAGCTGGAAGCCTGCTTCATGAGCAAAGGGGAGAAGGCAGCTAGACAGAGAAGGTATCACTAAGAAAATGATGGCTTGAAGAACTGGACGGGATGGGAGATGTGTGCAACAGAACTTTGGACAAGGGTCTTAGTTGCATTTAGTCAATTAAGGTTTGATTCTCAGCAATGCATATGCTTATCTAAGTCCCACCTGTTGTTATCCATGAGCAGAGCCAGAAGGAAGCCCTGAGCACTTCTGGGTGTGACCCAAGAACAAAGAGTTAAAAAGAACTGAAAAGTGAAAATCCAAAATGAAAAAAAAATAAAAATTTATAAGAAAGAATCAAGAGAAACCATATTCTTATCATACAGGTTTCAAGAGAGGGGAGGAGAATAATTATTAGTTGAAAAGATAATAGATGAGAACCTCTCCAGTCTGATGAATGATATATATATACATATATGTACATATATGTATATATACTCATATGCAAAAATTCAAAGTCCCAATTCAAATCAAATAGATTAACACCAAGACACATTGCAATTAAATAGGAATGATAGAGCCTTTAAAACATCAATAGAAAAGTATTATTATCCATAAGATACATTTATCAAATGTAAGCACTACAGACCAGAAGGAAATGGTTTAATGTACTCAATATGTCCAATGCAAATGACCACCATAAAGGAATACTCTAAACAGCTAGGTTAACAATCATATTTGAAGGAGTGATACAAAGCTTTTCAGCTAAACAGGAAAAATATTCAGTCACTAAAAAATCTGTGAAATAAATACTAAATAGTCTTTTATAAAATACAGAGTAACCCCACTTGGAGGTAGTAAGATGTTTAAATATATAAAATGTGGGAGTAAATGAGTGTAATAAATTACCAGAATGAACTTCAGACTAATCAGTTTTATATTTAAACAAGACAGGAGCTTAAACTGCATATGTAAACTGCATAGAATTATAAAGATGAAAATCCTTAAAAAATATAAACAAGAAAGGTCAATGGCACCTGATCACAAAATAACTGTCAGATATCCGAGTAGCATTGCACTGTCCTCCTATTGTTCATCGATTTGCTCGAACGGGTACCAGTAATGTCTCAAAACAAATTGTGAGACTTGTTGTTACTGTTTTGGGCATATTGAATACATCACGGGTATCTTGCCAGGCTTTGTCATGTGGATGAGATACTCTCGGTAGCTTGATGGGCTTTCTGAGAGGGGCGGAGGAATCAAACCCAGGTCAGCCGTGTGCAAGGCAAATGCCCTATTCTCTGTGCTATTGCTCTAGCCCAGTTATCAGAGTACATGGGGGAAAATAGAAGTCTAAAGAAACAAAGAAAAAATTCAAAATACACAATATTCATATAGAAAAATGACGCTATAACTAATTTTTAAGAACTTTACTCTCAATGGCCTGAACGCACCAATCTAAATCAGTGTCGCTACATGGGTTAGGAAAACAAAACTGAATATTATTTTGCTCTCAGGATACTTGGTTGAAATTTATAAAACATCCCCAAAAGTGTATTTTGGAAATATTTAGGTCAGAAAAAGTAGATTTTAACTTGAAAACGGGACGTAGAGACACTACTAGATTGATGATTAAGGAATCAATACATAAAGAAAACTTAGCACTCATTAACACATGAAGATGCAGGAAAATGCAACGGATCCACTACTAAAAAGCCTGAAATTAGATATTAATATAACAGAATAGAAATAGGAACTTTTACATTCCACTTACATCATTGGAAAATCATTAAGAAAATAGCAGCTTAATATGAGGAACAGGAAGAGCCGACTTGAATATATAGTCACAAGATTTTCCCTACAAAAATTAAATATACACTTTGCTCCAGTTCATATGGAAACATTCCTCAGGAAAGACCACAGGCTATGACATAAAACAAGTTTCAATAAATTAATAAAGATTGAAGTTAAATCAGACACCTTTTCAGATCACAATGATATAAGGATAGAAATCACCCATAAAAATGAAAGTTAGGGAAAACGTTAAGATTTTAGAAACTAAACAGCATACCCCACAGCAGAAGATAGAAAAACTTTTTTACATCAATATAGGAAGTTTGAAGCAATAAGGCTTACATCAGGAAACAAAAAAGGGCTTAAAACAAGCAATTTAACTTCATATCTTCCAGATGCAGAAAAGCAAAAACAAATAGGACCAAAATTAAATGATGAAATAAAAAAGATAATAAATATTAAAACTATTAAAATGCAACACAAATGACTAATGAAACAAAAGTTTTGTTATTTGAAACAATAAACAGCATTGATGGACCCTTAGCCAGATTCATGAAGAAAAGGGAGAGAAAACCATTATTAGTAGGATCAGATGTAAAACAGAAACCATTCCAAAAGGTACCACAGAAATCATGAAAAAAAGCAATGAATAAACTTATGTCAATTGGAGAATATAGAAGAAATGGACAAATTTTGGGAATCTTTAAATCTCTGATGTTATTTCAGGAAGAAAGAGAAAACTTAACCAGGTCAATTACAAATATGTATATAAGTTAGTATAAGATAAATATTTTAGTAAGTTTTAATGTATTATTATAAAAATAGATTAATTTTTCTAGAACTTAAGTCATTCAAATAACTGCTCAAAAAGGGAATGCCCTGCCACAGAGGCATAGTGGGATGGGGGGAATGAGGGGTGGGAGGGATGCTGGGACCTGTGGTGGTGGAGAATGGGCGCTGGTGGAGGAATGGGTACTTTATCATTGTATAACTGAAACCCAAGCACAAAAATGTGTAAGTCTATAACTGTACCTCGTGGTGTTTCACTAATAAAAAAAAATCAATTAATTTTAAAGGTAAAGGTAAAGGCCCTCCCGTTGATCGTCGATTTGCTCGAGCGGGCCCAGTAACGTCTCCATTGGAGACTTTGTTGTTACTGTGTCTGGCATATCGAATACTCTCGGTAGCTTGCCGGGCTCTCCGAGAGGGGCGGAGGAATCGAACTCGGGTCGGCCATGTTGGCCGCTTGTAAGGCGAACGCCCTACCCGCTGTGCTATCGTAGCGTGGCCGAGTGGTCTAAGGCGCTGGATTTAGGCTCCAGTCATTTCGATGGCGTGGGTTCGAATCCCACCGCTGCCACACCGTCCGCGGTCTTGTTTTGGAGCTCCAGTGGCGCAATCGGTTAGCGCGCGGTACTTATACGGCAGTACGTAATTTTAAAAAATTAGAAAAAAAGATGATGACATTATGAGTGTTTTTTCCTTGGGCTTAACTGGTTTAAATCTTTTTCTAATATAAATGTATTACTTCTGTAATAAAGAAAGCCAATAAAAGTTATAAAATTCAAAAAAAATAACTGCTCAATTACAATTTCTCAATTTCCATTTATTTCAACAGGAACTCCATTCTCCAACTCTGAAAATATCTACTTGTGCCCCAAGCACATTACAAGTTAATCAAAATACTGAACAGGTAAAGTGAGTTTTTATAATTTATTTTATTTTATTAAAGGCCATGATTTATAAAGTTATTAATAGATGAGGCTTAGGCATACAAATATTCCAACACCAATCTCACTACCAGTCAACTTCCTTCCACATCTGTTCCCATCCTCCCTCTGGCTCACTAACCTCCGTCCCCACTTTGAAAGTCCATCCCTGCCACTTTGAAAGTCACGTTTCAAAATTTGGTGATTGTAGCTTAGATCACAGGTTTTCAGTGTTGCAGCTGTGCTTTAGTTATATAGCTGTACCAGTTTCCTACGTCACCGGTATACCCAAGACCCCTGACTACTTAATTGGGTTAAAATAAGTTTTGGATTAAATTATATTATCTTTGATAAGCCTTGTTTATAAACCAACTTTAGTTATTCATATGCCTTTATATATTCAGAAAATATCAGAAACATAAAACTAGAAAAAAGATTCTCACAATTAAAATTAGCTGACTATTTTTTAAATTTATTTATTTATTGAATCACTGTGGGAAAAGTTACAAAGCTTTCAGGTTTAAGTCTCGGTCATGCAAATATCAAACACATTTCCCCTTACCAATACTTATTTTTCACCAAGGAGAACCCCAATAAACCCCCCCTCCCAACCCTCCCAATGCCTGTGAGGCAGATGAATTCTAGTTAACACTCTATCTACTTTGACTAGATTCATTGTTTCGACAAAAGATGCACCATTATTATTTAGCGTTTACACCCCCAAATCAGACATGCTGAAAAGGCATTGTGAAATAATTTGTTTTCTACAGCTGGTCACAAGAATTAAACAATGCCACACGGCTGCCGCGCGATTTTGGATTTCTGGTATTTTACTTATTAACCCTGGAAGTATTTCTGCTGAGAGTCAGATAATTATGAGATTGGTTTCTGTGTTCTGGAGCCATGGCCGTGCCGGAGAGCCGCTTGTGGGGGGCAACTCGTGACCTCGGTAGGGCATGAAGGACGAGCTGGGAACGCCCCCCTTCCAATGAGGTTTTAGTCGCCCCATCACGACCTAGCTGACTATTTTTTAAAAATATGAAAAACTGTTAAAACAAAATGAACTGAGCTTTTTCAGTTTTGTTGTCTACTCAGTTTGATTGCTTTTATTTTGAGTGCAATTTATTTTTAACCAATAATTTCCTGGATATTTAAATATTTTAGTGATATTTAAGGGTCCTTTTTTTTTGAGCACAACTAAAGTATAGAGACCTTGTATTGTTTGAAGACCTGACTTTGTGAATGATCAGGTGAATGTTTACATTTAGAATGTTTACATTTAGAAAGAGAACTATTCTTTCTTGTAGGTACACAATTTGAAATACATTCAAGCTTGTGGCTCTCTTAAATTTGACTACCTAGTAATCTGTCTACTAGGATTATTCTTGAATCTAATATTGCATTGCAAGTTCTCATAGAATTAAACATCATATTAATCATGATCACGATCATCCTGTTATTCATCGATTGTCTTGAGCAGGTACCAGTAACGTCTCCTTCTACCTAGCCCTAAGATTTTAAAAGAGCCATTTCAATGCTCTTTCAGGATTAGGAGGATGAGACCCATCATTGTTACTGGTATTTGGCATATTGAGTACGACACGGGAAATTTGCCAGACTCTGCCGTGTGGGCAGGATACTTTTGGTAGCCTGCCAGGTTCTCCAAAGGAAAAATAAGATAGTAAGATGTTGCTCCCGGGAGCTGGGTTTTATAGTCTCTGAGTCTTGGCCATTGATGGAACCAACCTGGCGCTGTAGGCAGCTGGTGGGTGTGACGCCTACCTACTGGAAGATGGGGGGGTCTGGGTGGAGAAGGTCCAGTCCCAATCCGAGTAGGCTTGGAGACCTCAGCCCTGGGACCTGCATGCCTGGGTTCCTCTGCCAGTTCTTTCATGCATGAGGTCCGTCCGGACATGTGGAGAGTGGTCCCAGCATGGCCGTGGCTAGCTCCGGAGGTCCTCAGCTGCTGGGGCTCTGCTCAGGGCGGGGGGGGGGAGAAAAACTCAACCCTCCCCCCTCCAAGGGGCCCCAGTGAGGACAGCCAGGCGCAGGGGCAGGAGACTGCCCCATATTAATAACTATCATATTAATAACTATGTTAATTTACTATTTGCCAGATACCATGAAGTATAACCAAAGAAAATGAAACATTAGTCATCTTAAGCTTATAGCCTTATTGGAGGGGAATTTATAAGTTATTGGACTTGAAGCATAGCAGGGAGAAAGACGCTGTTCTAAGGAAATTGGTCCCAGATAAGACTCTAAGGTGTGAACTTGAACAAAAAAGAGACAAATTGGCAGAAATTTGGCCTCTAGACCTTACAGGAGATAATGAATAGAAGATAATATTGTGTAGAATAAGATTACAAAAATAAACTTTACCAAATTGAAAATAACTTAGAAAAGAAGTTCAGTTGGAATTATGAATTTCTTTAGAGGTACTTGCTTTGTACTAAGTATGTATCAAATGTTTTTAAGGATGAATTAGATCCAAATCTTATTTTTAAGGAGCTCACAATTATAGCATGAATCACATATATAACACATCATAATATATTGATTAAATTATACAAATGTGTTAGAATTGGAGCCTGCAAAAGTATGATGTTGTAGAAAATTAACTGTACTTAAATTACATAGTTGTTCATTGCACTAAAACCAGTTTGAAATTTGCAGAAACTATGGAATTTTCCACAATTACTTAACAACTGGGTGCAACATATATTTTTATTGCAATAGGAAGTATATTTGTAAAAGTTTTAATATAGAAAGAAATATAAGATAAACTAAAAACACTCGTGTTACCCAGGAGCGATTTTCATTGTTTTGCTGTTTTCTTTGATACAACAAAAGCTTGATTTCATACTACAAATGCAGTTTTAATTGTTTATTTTTATTTATTTATTTATTTATTTTTTGCTTCTTGGGTCACACCCTGTGGTGCTCAGGGGTTACTCCTGTCTCTGCACTCAGGAATCACTCCTGGCGGTGCTCGGGGAAGCATATGGGATGCTGGGAATCGAACCAGAGTCGGCCACGTGCAAGGCAAATGCCCTACCTTCTGTGCTATCACTCCAGCCCCAATTGTTTATTTTTAAATGTACATAGTCCTGCATTTTATTGTAAATTTCTATTACTCAATATTTTTATGGCTACAGTGAAACATGTTTTTGTATTCAGTCTATGTGTGATTATTTATTATTTCCCTTCTCCATAATAACATGATCCATCTGATGCACTAATCGTTAGTTTTACAATTTAAATTTCTCCCTGTTATAGTATTATTTCGTTATGTTTGGTTAGATTTTAACATTCATTATCCATTTGCATATAAATGGTTTATGTCGTTTGTGTATTTTTACATTAAGTTAGTATAGTTTTCATATTGAATTATAAAACTTTATTTTAATGATGTAAACTTTTTCCAAAAAACTTTATAAATTTCTTTATTCTAGTTTTATTTCCGTTATTTGTTAAGCCCCCCTAATCTGGAAGATGTAACACTCCAAGTGGACACACCTAACTTTTTTGTTTGTCTTCTGTTAAAAAAATTATAGGATGTACCTTACAAGCAAAGAATCTAATCAATAAGTAGTAAGTTATGTGCTTCCTAATCAGGTATTTTTATTTAAATTAAACAATTATTTTAAACTCTAACGTAATATTGTTTGGAATATGCGATAGTATACAATGGAATGAGTATAAATGAATTATCTACCACAGTGCTGTGCACAGAAACACATGCTTTCATACGTTTTTTACAACTGAAATAGATTCAAACAAAATCCTCATTATTTGTGACAGCAACTAAATATTTTACTCTGAAAAAATGTCCCATACTATTATTGATAGTTTCATGGCCATTAAGAACAATGATTATATTTTTATTTTATTTTTCTTCATAGGAACTACATTTTCCAACGATGAAAATAAATACCTACCCACAGACCACTATTAGGAGTTACGTAGTTCAAAATCCTGATCAGGTAAGATCACCCAAATTAATGCTCCAACATATCATTTCATAGAAGTTGATAATATTTTTTAAAAGACGTTATTTTAGGCACCGTGATATACAATATTGATAATAGCAAACGTTCATGCATAAAACATTTAATACCACATTCTCCACAAGAGTATCAGCTTCCGTCCACCAGCATCCAAATGTCAACCACCTCCACATTCTAACATCTGAAAGCCTTGTTCAGTGATATTCTTTCTACAAAGGACCAATTTTCATTTTCTGTTTCCTTTGGGTATTAGTTGTTTCCCTGTTATGTTTCATTGCATGTCCAAGAAAGCCCAAAATATTTACAATATGAATATTTACAAATATATTTGCCAACATCTGTCCTAGAATTTATGAGAACACAAGCATTGATAAGACAAAAAAGAAAGTAATAAGTGTCCACAAGAGATACAGAGAAATAATTTATTGGACTTGATAATTCCGTAATAGAGTTGTGTAAAGTTATTAAAATTTACTTTAAGAATATTAGAAAATTAAGAAAATGCCGCCCCTCTCAGAGAGCCTGGCAAGTTACCAAGAGTATCTTGCCCGCATGGCAAAGCCTGGCAAGCTACCCGTGACGTATTCAATATGCCAAACACAGTAACAATGAGTCTCACAATGGAGACGTTACTGGGCCCCCTCGAACAAATCGATGAACAATGGGTGGACAGTGCTACAGTGCTACAATGCAGATTATTTATATGAATTAAACTATATATCACTATAAAATGAATAAAAAGACACAAAGAAATAAAAACACATCTACTTTAGTGGACTGGAAGAATTAACATTGACAAAATAACAATCCTACCCAAAACACTATACAAATTCTGTGCAGATCCTACAAAAATACCCATAACATTTATTTTTATTATTTTTTTATTGAATCACCATGAATTACAAAATTACAAAGTTATTCATGATTGCGTTTCTGGAGTACAATGTTCCAGCCCCAGTCTTTTCGCCAGTGTCTATTTCCTTCCACCAATGTCCCAATTTCCAGCTCACTCTCAAACCTGCCTTGATGGAAGATACTATTTTATCTTAATGAGAAAATCAGGATAATCTATCCAATGAGACTCCACTATTTTGATACCACTTTGTAATTTTGTAATGCTTTCCTGAACATGTAAAGGATTTGATCTTTCATTTTTATTTACATTACTTCAAAACTATGAACACCATTCTCTTCTCAAGGACATTATAAAATAGGTTTCTGGCTATACTATACTGAGTTCTGATCAATATTTAATGTTCCTGACAATAATCTAAATTTGATTTATGGCTCAGCATTTAGTAAATTATAATTTTAATAGTTGCTCGAGCTCGAGCGGGCCCAGTAACGTCTCCATTGGAGACTTTGTTGTTACTGTGTCTGGCATATCGAATACTCTCGGTAGCTTGCCGGGCTCACCGAGAGGGGCGGAGGAATCGAACTCGGGTCGGCCATGTTGGCCGCTTGTAAGGCAAACGCCCTACGCGCTGTGCTATCACTCCAGCCCCAATTTTAATAGTAAGCTCTTACATATGTTACATGATTTCCAGTTACTGTTAAGAGGCTTATTTATTGATTTATTTGCAAACTCATGCAAGTAAAATGTAGCTTGTATGATAGACTATCTAAGTATATACTTTTTAATTAAAAAATCATATAATTAAATCACATTTTTTGCTTTTTGGGTCACACTCGGCGATGCACAGGGGTTACCCCTGGCTCATGGGCTCAGGAATTAATCCTGGAGGTGCTCAGGGGACAATATGGGATGCTGAGAATCGAACCTGGGTGGGCCGCGTGCAAGGCAAACACCCTACATGCTGTGCTATCGCTCCAGCACCCATTACATCACTTTTAATCAAACTTGAATACCAACAGTATACGTCTTTGAATTCAAGAGTTTTTATTTTCTCAACAAATGTTTTTTTATTTCAGTTATTCTGAGAATTTTTATAATAACAAAACACAAAAAACCTGGCATATTTCATTGATTTTATATTATTCTAAACATAGTAGCAGATAAAAACTTTCCAGTCCCCCCTCTTGTATAAATCTCCAAGGGGCAGTCCTGGGGAAGCCCCAACGGCTCTTCCCCTAGCCACCTGCATTCGGGGGGCCTCAGGACTCTTCCCCAGCTGGGGCAGCCAGGGTCATGGGGCAGACGGTGGACGAAAATGAGGGACAAGTAGGTTGATTGATCAGATGCCATTTATTCCATTCTCCCCAAGCACCTTCCCCAGTCTCTCTGAACCTCCCATTCTAGTCTCAAATTGCCTGCATCCCCGTGTCCTTCTGTCTCCCCTGTTCCATCTCACAACCTGGGCTCGCTCTCTCTACGAGCCTGCTCCTGTATTCTTCTACATCCTACTCCCTCTGTCCCCCTTGCTAGTCTCTCCGCACTCCATCTTGCTGCCCTTGCTCTTTCCTCTCTCACCTCTCTCCAGCTCTCTTGTCACTCCAACTCCCCTGCACTCTGGGCTGTCACTGCACCCAGTCAGGTAGCCAAATTAACATAAGAAAGCCTGATTTCTTGATGGCAATAAACAATTTGCTGTTCTGTGTATACAAAATACAAACCAAAAATCTTGACCACTGTATAGGTTAAAACTGTTTTAAGCACGTTGCCTAAAATGTAATAAAAATTAAATTTTGTTTGGAAAAAAAAGAAAGCCCCTCCTGACTGTCATCAGACTCAGGGGCTAAACACCACCTGGGGTATTCCAAAGCCCTCTTCCTGACTGCCTAAGGGCAAAATACCTCCTAAAGTGTTTTTCTCCTTTCCTCAGTCCAGTAACTCTATCAACATCTTAATACTAGTTATTTTTGTATGTACTGTATGGACACAGTAAGAGATACATTGAGGCTTGTAGAGCAGCTTTTCTGAGAAAGTCTTGCCACAGACTCAGACTACAGAGCTCAGGCCAGATTAATCATTCCTAACCCTAGCAGGGTCCGAATCTAGTTATTACTTTTTGGATCATGACAGCATTTGTCCATGACCAAAATCTTAAGCATTAAGCAATATTTAAGCATTATGGCATTTTGACCAGGCCCATCTTGATGCCGGGGTAGCACATAGCTTACCACTTGCCCTGGTTCCATCCAGTCCCTCGTTAGGACGCTGCTTTTGGGGTGCTGGGAAGTAAGGGCAGCTGAGGCTTAGGTCGAGAGAACAGATGCCCAGGAGGAAAATATCACTGAGAGTCATGTTACAAAAGCATAGCATATACTGTCTTCTTGTATCCATACAAAACAGACATAGCTCTGAATAAACTATGCAAAGGACTTAGGGAGAAGAGAAAAACAATATTTACAAGTTAACAGAGCACAAAGAAAGAAGCTACAAATAAACTCAGAAGAATGGAAGCACTGTGATGGGAGCAATCCAATAAACCTAAACTACCTTAGGCTATGCAGGAGGGACAAATCAATGTTATCCTCCACCCTCTGTTACAACCCCATCCTTCTGTATTAAAAATATAAAATTTTGATTTGTTAGAAAATAGTTCCAACTCCCAGGCAAGTAAATATTATACCAAAACGAAAAGAAGGCAAAAGAATATGCTATATATTACACAATTGTATTTTATTTTAGGCTTCTTGTTTGATTCTTCTTAACATCTTCCTTATTTCTCTCAAATATACTGAACACTTGAGTTACTCTACATCGATTTAGTTGCTTATTGGGAAATAAAGTCAAAACTTATTTTTGTTCTGTTTTCAATATTCAGCATGTATATGTCGTGCTCAGTTTCGTAGCTTTAATTATAATCACAAGAAAGAACTATGCACTTCAAGGACACCCAAGTTGAGTTCCAGGAACAAAATCTTGGCTATAGATCTATTTTCATTAATGAAACCGAGGAGCTGAATCGTGTTTATTTTGCATTTCTCAAAAATAAATATGCAAAGAATCTGTCAATGAAGTCTGTTGAAATGACTTTATCTCTAGAGTCCCTGATTACTTCAAAGAAAAATAATTATATTTAATCTTCTTATTTATTTTTATTAAAGCACTGTGATTTGCAAGTTTATTCATAGTTGAGTTTTACACATACAATATTGTAGCACTGATCCCACAACCAGTGTCAACCAGTGGTCGCTACACACTTTTCTCATGTTCCCTTCATAGCTCCCCATGTCCAGTCTGCCCTCTTGACAGGAACCTTTCTAAGTTCAGTTGTTAAAGTTTAGATCCTTAGACTTTAGTATTTGCTCTGTGGTTTGAATATTTCGCTCTATCATTCCTTAACACCACCTTTGTACCTGACTCCTCTGACCTGTACCCACCCTCCATTGCTTCTCATCTGTCTCTTCTCCCTCTCCCCTCAACTCTTTCCTTCTCTTCCCTATACTCTGGGTTCAAATCTGATATGGGAGTCCCCCATTTAAATATTGCATTCCCTTATCTAGTTATTCTAAATTCTAAAGAACATAAAAATAAAAAAAATAATTAACCTCTTCCAATTTCCATAAAGGACCAGATCACACCTTTTTAAAAATTGGATTGTATTATCAGGGCCTCAAGGGACATGATCCTACTCTACTCTTGTAATCTGCATAAAAACCTAGAGTTTATTAGTACCTTAGATTATTACAGGCTGGATATATGCTTAAGATAAGGTTCCTCTGAAATGACACCTTTAAAATTAAAACATTCCTGTCATTATAGGAGCCTCTCTCACCACTACTAAAAGGAGGCCATTTCTTCCCAGGAAATAATGTTATTTATGAAAAAACAATAAGAAAAGTGGAGAAGTTAAATATGGATCAGGTAAGTAAAATTTGTTTTAATGATCACTTTATATGTGCATACATTGAACTGTAAATGTGTAAATACACAAATATTTTAATGTAGCAAAAATGACAAATTGTAAAATACCAGGTGAGACAACTGTGAATCATAAATACTTTATTATCTCTACAGTCCATTAAGAATTTTCATATTCATTTACTCATTAAAATATCCCTGTTTTGACATAGAAAGATTGCATTCATCTGGGGAACATAAAATAACAAAATAGGAGACTAACACCCAAGAATAGCTGAGATAAGTGCCAGGAGGTTTGCTCCATGGCTTGGAGGCCAGCCACAATAGCTAGGGCAAAAGGCAGCTTAGATAGAGAAGGGAGCACCAAATAAAGGGTGTTGGGAGGACCCTCCCAGGATGGGAGACACATGCTGAAAGTAGCCTATAGACCAAACATGATTGCCACTCTATGCCTCTTTTGCAAACCACAGCACCCAAAAGGAAAGAGAGAACAAAAGCGAATGAATGCCCTGCCACAGAGGCACTGTGGGATGGGGGGATGGAGTGTGGGAGGGACACTGGGATCATTGGTGGTGGAGAATGGGCACTGGTGGAGGGATGGGTACTCAATCATTGTATAACTGAAACCCAAGCACAAAAATTTGTAAGTCTACAACTGTACCTCATGGTGTTTCACTAATAAAAATTTTAAATAAATTAAAAAATAAATAAAAATAAACTATTAAAAATATCCCTGTTTTGTTACAATGGAAAATGAAATAAACATATAAAAAGTTGCTTTAAAAAAACAATGGTACGAGGCCAGAGAGATGGTAAAGCAGATAGGGTACTTGCCTTGCACCCACATACATGAGTTTGATCCGCAGAAACTTATATAGTATCTCAACACACAGCATGAGTGATCCCTGAGAGCAAAGCCAGAAATAAGCCCTGAGAAAAAGCCAGTTGTGACCCCAAAAGAAAAACAAAAAAAGAAAAGAAAAAATTAGAATAATGCTGAAAATCTGTGAATATGAATTTAATGCAGATATACCAAGCCCTCTGTGATTTTCTTCTAATAGGTATCAAAATAATCACAATTTAAAATATTATTTTTCTTATTCATTTAACATCTAATAATTTTTAAATGAACAAATATAGAAATAGATATGCAAAGTACAATTCTTTATAAAATTTCTAGAACTTTATAAAAATATCTAGAAAACCTCAGCTTCAAGCCAATTTTTAAAAACTCCAGTAAATGTTATTGACAGTTGGGGACAGGAAAATGACTTAAATGACCAGAGCTCATGCAAAGTATGTGCATGGTTTGATTCCTGGATTTGTATGGTCCCATGAGTACTGTTGGAAGAAACCCCTGAACACTGAGCACTGTTGAAGCAACCTCTGAACACCAAGCCAGTAGTAGTCCTGAGCATTGCCAACTTTTGTCCTAAATGAACAAAAAAGATAAACAAGTAAGTAAACCAACATAAATGTTTAATTCATAGCAAGTATTAGAGTTCAAAACTGCACCAGGGTAGGGGTCATAGAGATAGTACAGCAGGTAGGGCAATTTTCTTACCCACAACCTACCACCGTTTGAACCCTAACATCCCATATGGTTCCCAGAGCACTGCCAGGAGTAACTCTTCAGCACAGAGTCAGGAGTAACCACTGAGCATTCTCAGGTGTGGCTCCAAAACAAAACTGCATTAAGGTAATGGCAATTTCATGGTAAACAAAGTCCAAAGTTCTCCAACTCGAGTTGTTACTATTATCAGTAGAAGTTTCACACTGATCTGCTCTACAGACATAAGCATTGTAACCAAGAATAAGTTTTAGACATGCTGTCTCTTAAACATTGTTTCCCCCTCCTTTTCCCTCTCCTTAGTTACTGTTTCAATGACTGGAGGTCCCACATTCAGGGTTGTAGTATTCCTATATACACTTTCTTGTGGTGCTAGCAGAGAGAAGACTGCACTCTTGATATATAATACTTGCACAACCTTGGTTATGGTGTGATATTAATCACACATTTTGTTGTGGCACCAGAGATCTTACATTGTTGTGACACTGGCATCATATGCTACATGTGAAGCAGTACTAGTGATTAAAATTTTGGTCTCATGTCTCCAAGGTAGGTTTTCTACCACAGAGCTACCCTTTGACATCCTTGAATGAATGGACTGTATTAGCTTGTTAGAGGGCGCTATAAAAATGCCACAAGCTAGCACAAATTCATTATCTCACAGTTCTGAAAACCAGAACATGACATTGTTTGAGTGGTCCTGATCCAACTACTGAGGACGAACACTTCCATGTGTATCTCTTATGTTCTAGAAGCCCATCATCTTGTAAATCCTCCATCTTTACATGGCATCCTTTTTTTGTATCTTTATATCATCTTCCCTCTGTGTATGTCCGTTTCTATCTCAAAATTACTCCATTTTATTGAGAAGTCAGTTATATTTGGCTTGAATTTATCCAAATAAGCTCATTTTAACTTGACTATCAACCTTGTATGTAATAAGATTACATTATAAATATTAAGATTAATATTGTTACATATTTTTGGAGGGTACAATTCACCCCTCAAAAATTAAATCAAATGAATGTTAGTAACAAAATCATTCTTTTCATATATATTAAAAGTACTAATATGTAATAAACTCTCCTTTTTACTTTTCTCAACATGTCAATTTTTTTTATTTTTATGAGCCTATTACCCAGTAGTATATTATAATTTATTTGATGTCCAATAAAAATTAAATAGAGTAAGCTTTCAGAAATTCAAACATCCTTTTTAAATTCTGGTCTCCTTGGAAATATGGATATAGTATGGAAAGCATAGTAAGATATGCATGTGAATAGATGTCTTCTGGTATGATAGAATATTTCTGAAAATTTTGATACCAAAGAGAATCATCATCAAATATATCTGTTCTTTAAAAATCACATTACTAAACACAACAGACTATAACATTTGTTATTTTATTGCTTTGCATATAAATGTATATATATATATATATGGTGTTGGGCCACACCTGGTGATGCTCAGGGATTACTTCTGACTCTGTACTCAAGAATTAGTCCTGGCAATGCTGAGGTTCCATATAGGATGCTTGGAATTGGACCCAGGTGGGCAAGGCAAGGGCCCTACCTACTTTACTATCTGGCCCCTATAACATTTGCTCTTATCCAACCAAACTAATAAAGCAATAAGGTTGACACACTGTAAATAGTAAAGAATGTTTGAGATACTTCTTTTCATGCTGCTGCAAACATCTTTTTAAAGATATTTAACAGCTATTACAAATATTGTTCCTGCGATGATGTTAAATATTATATAATTTTTTTGTTGTTATGCATCTGGAACAGCTAAAGAATCCATTTACTGTTTTGATATTTCAATATCTATCTCCCATCTATATAGTTGATTTTATTGATTTAGTATTTGTTTACTATTATATTTCAAGAGAAAACATTCACACCTCTTTGTGTAATAAGTCTTACCACATTTAGCATCAGCGTTCTAGTTCACTATCACTCTGACCTATTCATTCCTTCCCAAGATAAACTAAAGACATAGTTTTTGTAGTCTGGGTTAATTTTCTTGTAAAAATTTATTTTTGTTTATAATGACCAACACATGCATGGGAACCATGTGCTTGTGGAGCCGTATACAGGGGCCCGCAGGATCTCTCCTGGCAATACTGGAACTGGAAGTGTTTGCCTAACGGTTTCGTTTCTTTGACCTGGTGATGCAGAGGGAAATGGGGACTCTGTAGTACATGTCTCTAAAAAAAGCTCCGTAGTACTCTGGAGCTTTCAGGGCTACATTTGTTAGTTCTGTGAAGTGATAATGTTTTTCTAGGAATCATACTACAAGCTTTAGGTATGCAAGGGAAACAAATATCAAATTTACAACTGTAAGGTTAATGTACATTCATTCACGCATATTTGGATTAAATTAGAGTACTTTTTAAAAAAAGATTCAGGTGAATGTAATCAAAGTAAAATAACAAAATATATTGAATTCATGTATATCAAATATCCTCTAATGTTCAATGCCCTAAACTTATCAGCAATAGAACCATAAAAAATAAAAAATAATGATTTTTATTATTCTTATATATTGTTTTCTTAAATATTGTCAATGTTTAGTATAATATAGTTTGGAAAATTATTATACTATTTTGTTTCATTATGTGACCCAAGTCCTGAGTCTGCCTTCATTTAACGAAGGTTGAAATTGATTTTTTCCACATCATGACACAATTGAAAGTTTCCCTATATGATGCTGTATGAATAAAATATTTAGGGGATTTAGGGGGTGTTTACATTTTATTTACTTTTTGTTATGAAACCATTATTCACAGTTAAGTTCTAGTCATACCGCGTTCCAACACAAATTCCACCACCAGAGTTGTCTTCCCTCCACCAATGTTCCCAGGTTTCTTCTACCCTCCAACCTGACTTCTTGACAGCCACATTTTAAAATTTGGTTGTTATATTCTGAACAGTCTCCATACTGTTTCCCAGAGGCGATGAACCGGGCAATATTCTCATCAGCAGTGCATGAAAGTTCTTTTATCACCACATCCTTGTCAACATAGGTTGTTCCCAGTTATCTTTCATATGCCTCATTCGCTCATTGTTTGAGATGATATCTGATTGACATCTTGATTTGGATTTCTTATGATAATAAGTGATGATGAGCACTTTTTCATGTAGCCATCCATCCATCTTCTTTAGAGACATATATGTTCATTTACTCTCTCCATTTTTAATAGGTCTTTTATAATTTTTGTGTTGGAATTTGTGAATATTTTATCTATATTATATATTAACCCTCTATCTAATGTGTTGAGTGAAAATACTCTCTCCCATACAATTGGATGTCTTTTTTCTCAATTTTAGCTGTGATATTGCAATAATATGATAATAATTACCTACTAGTTTTATTAGGACCTTTACAGTCATTATATATTCTCCACAGTATTCCAAAGACACATTACAATTGCCCCTTTTACAAATGAGGAAACTTATTTATTGTGGCAACATATAAAATTTTCCAAGATCACAGACCAAATAGTAGATTTAGAATCTGATGCTTCAGCACTGCTTTCCAAGTCTTTTTAAATTCATATTCAATTTTATAAGCATAAGAAATTTGTCTATGTATTGTATTCTAGTATGCCTTCTGAATTTAAAATTGTATTAATTTTTAATTTTATCTTCATGTATATTTTCTGTATTGTACTATTCTAAAACTTTATTTTACTTTATGATGCTGTTCACAATAGTTTATTACATTTAAATTACAACACCAATCCCACTACCACTACACCTACCCACCACATTTTGATTTGATTATTTCCACCCCAACTCCCAAACTCTACCCCCAAGCAGGACCTAAATAATTTATTTTGTATCGCTTGTTATGCAAAATCCTCTAAAAATGATTCAAAAAGGTTTCCTTGGAGGAACGTGTGTAAAGGTTATTTTATTTTACTCTTGATCCATTAAGCCCTTGTATAAGAAATTACTAAAATATTATTTTATGCAATTAGATACTGAAGTTCTTGTTATATATACTTTTATAGTTGTAGTGCTAACAAATTAGATAAGAATTTAGATTTTCACAACTCTCTACACAACATACAATTTAATTTCTCTCATAGGACAATTTGTAAAAGTATTTTAACACTGGTTAAAACTACACATCCAGGGTTTGACTTGTGAAAGAGAACATGAAACTTGTAAAATTTTTTATTAAGTCACCACGATTTACAAAGTTTTTCATAGTTAAGTTTCAGGCAGACAGTGTTCTAGCACCAAACCACCACCAGTGTCAACTTCCTTCCTCCAGTATACCCAGGTTCTCTGCCAACCCACCCTCCTAGCCTGCCTTCTTAGCAGGAGTATTTGAAACTTGGTTGCTGTCCTTTGGATTTCATGCTTTCATTGTTGACTCTGCGTTTCTACATATAAATATACCACTACTCTCCACTACCGATGATCCACCGCCCTTAATTCTTGCTACTCGGTTTCCTTCAATGTGCTTCTTTAGGTTTGTGAGCAGGTTTATGAACGTTGAATAAATGCTGGTTTTTATTTGGGTGGGGGTGTTCAGGACTTATTTCTGGCTCTGCATTCAGGAATCACTCCTGGTGCACTCAGGGGACCATATGGGGTACCGGAGATTCAACCCCGATCAACTGAGGGCAAGGCAAAGTCCCTATCTACTGTACTATCTCCTTGACATCCATTGAAAAAAATGTTTATAAGTGCTTCTTGGTCTATTGTTCCATTAACCAATAAATGATGTCCACTCTGTCTGTAATTACTTTCTTTAGGTTGAATGTTGTTTTGTCTGAGACAGGTATGGCTGTCCCAGCTTTTACTGTCTACCATTGGCTTCTATGATTGTTTACCACCCTTTCACTCTGAACCTGTATTTACCCTGTTACATTGTATTTCCTGAAGGCAGCATACAGACAAGTGTTCTTTCCTAATCCACCCAGAGACTCTGTGCCTTTTTTGTACCAGAGTCTAGTCCATTGACATTAAAATAGGTTACTTAAATAAAGGATTGTGTTGCCATTTTGTATGTTTTTGTGTGGGGGGAGAAAGTATTTTTGCATGTGGACATTGTTTTTTTTTTTTTATAAATGGTCTTCCAGTAATTCTTGCAAGACTGGTTTAGTTGTCACGAATGTTGCCAGCGCTTGTTTGTCTAAAACGTTTTTTTAACTCTCCCTTAATCCTCTAACAACTTTGCAATTAGTGCACTCTAGGTTGAAAGTTCTCTTTTTTCCATTCCGTACTTTGAGTATGTTGTTCCACTATTTTCTTTTCTTTTTTTTTTTTTTGTGAAGTAAGACGGTTTTTATTGAAACTTGTTTAGAAAGACAGGAGGGGTAAGGAGATAAAGAGCGAAGTATCTATGTGAAAGAGAACACAGGCTTCTCTAGAGTGGAAATAAGCGAGCAAAGAATTAGAGATATACAAGTGAGAGAGTGTTAAAGAAAGAACACAAGAAGGGCTGGAGCGATAGCACAGTGGGTAGGGTGTTTGCCTTGCACGTGATCAACCCGGCTTCGATTCCCAGCATCCCATATGGTCCCCTGAGCACTACCAGGAGTAATTCCTGAGTGCAGAGCCAGGAGTAACCCCTGTGCATCGCCAGGTGTGACCCAAAAAGCAAAAAAAAAAAAAAAAGAAAGAAAACCAGAGTGGAGTTGTTTGCATGATATTATGTGATAGATCTGTGGTGATCCTTGTGTTATTTCTCTTGTATTTTTCCCTTCTTTCTGGATGTTTAAGTAGTCTGTCTTTGACTTTGGTTTTAACCTTTTTTGATTATTATTTTTATTGTTATTTAGATTGAGTATATTTTGTACAGTATTTTTGGGTCTCATGAATCGGACACACATGAAACTTTTTAAAAATGTGTTTAGTTGGATTTTATGACTAATCTTTTAATTATTAGTAACCAAATTTGGTATATTTTTGTTTTAGGAATGCTGTCCTCAGATTCAATGCCATCATCACATTGTACAACAGCCCCATATAATCCACTTTCCACACTGCCAACAATCTTGCTCTGGTCAACAAATTCAAACTATTGTAGGAAATGACTCAGATTCTACAAATACTGGAAAGGAATTATGCCATGGTGGATCAAGCCATGTACATGATCAGGTAAGATCAGTAATTTTATTCCTTAATAAAAATTATAGTATTTAAAACCTATGCAGACTTCACAAGTATCCACATTAGCTATTCATCAAAATTGAAGATAGCTCTATAATATGTGTTTTGCTACATACATTTTATTGATTAGGTAGCAATCATTTAAAAGTACATCAATGTTTATGCCTTAGGGGTACAATATCGTCACACTACACCTACCAACAAAGTGGAAGTATTCCTCTATCAATACGCATCAGACTCTTCCCTCCAATTTGGTATCCTCAGTTGTGTCATCAGAATCTAAAGGCTTGCTTTCTTTGAACATTGTTCTCTTGCTGTTTTTCTTTATATACCACATGTGAGTGACATTATTTATTATTTGTCTTTCTCTTTCGAATTTATTTTGCCAGACATGAAATTCTTTATTCCCATCCATATTGTAACAGAATTTAAGACTCCATTTTCCTCCTCTTAGCTAGCTGAGCAGTATCCCATTGTGTCTATATGCCATAATTCTTTAATCCACCTATTTGATTTTGAGTATTCGGCTTCTTTCCAGATCTTGGCTATTTTATCAAGTGTTACAGTGACCTGCATAGGAGCATTATTGTGTTCTTGGGATAGAAGTTGAGAAGGGGTGGGAAAGAGAGATAATGAAGTAATTATAATTTTGCCTTGCATGTGGCTGAGATTGGTTCTTTTCCTGGAACTACATATGATTCCTTGAGGGCCACCATGAGAAAAAGTCTAAGCACAGAGACAGGGGTAAGCCCTGAGCAATGCCATGTGTGACCTAAAGATAAAAAAGGAAAAGAAGTGAAATGTGTAGATCATCTGGTAGTTTTATTTTTCATTTTCTAGGTCTTTACACTGTTTTCCATACAAATTGACTCTGCATACATTCCCTCCCACAATATTTGAGGGCATCTTTTTCTCCATATCCCCACCAAGCAAGTTATTTCTAGCCCTTTAGATATAGGTTGTTAGAAGCTGAAATATGTTTTTTTGTGTATGATTTAAACTTTTTAAAAATGTTTTTATTTCTTAAAAAAATTTTAATGAATCACTGTGAGATACAGTTACAGATTTACAAACTTTCATGATTACATTTCAGTCATGCAATGATCAAGTACCCATCCCTCCATCAGTGTCTATTCTTCACCACCAATGTTCCTAGTATCTCTCTCGCCACCCCACATTCCCCTGCTCCCTGCCTCTTTGGCAGGCACATTCCCTTCTACTCTCTCTCCTTTTGGGTGTTATGGTTTGCAATATGGGTACTAAGTGGCCATCATGTTTGGTCCATAGTCTACTTTCAGCACACATCTCCCATCCTGAGCGAGTCCTCCAAGCATCATTTACTTGGTGGTCCCATCTCTATCTCAGATGCCTTTTCCCCAGCAGGTGAGGTATTTTTGATGTTTATTATTTACAACTTAGCGACTATAAATATTATTTCAGGTGCATATTTGCCAACTCTATGACTTTTGGGGGAAAGTGTTTACCCTTGTATTCCCTCCCATTTTTTCCATTTTTTCCATTGCTGTTATTTTGTTGACTTGAGTTTACCAACCAAGTCTTGAATCCATTTAAGTTAATATTTGAGTCTGATATAACATCATTTTTTTGTATCTGGCTAACCCTTCTCAATACTGTTTGTTGAAGAGTCTTTCCCACATCTACTGTATGTTATTGTTTCATATGTCATATATTAACTATTCACATATCTAACAGTTTATTTCCAGACTTTCATATCTATTCAATTACTCTACATTTATTTCAACCCCACAGATTTTTCTTCCTATAGTTTTATAGCATAAATTAAAAGTTAGAAACATGATGCTATCTGACATTTTTCTCTCTCAGGATTGCTTTGACTTGTCAGTGTTTTTGCAGTTCCATTAAAATTTTGGTAGTATTTGGTTTTGTCCTTAAAGAACGTAATTAGAATTTTGATATAGATTATACTGAATCAATAGAACTCCTTGAGTAGAATGATCATTTTATCTATGCTAATTACCCAACTAAGGACATGAAATACTTTTCCACTTCTGACTATCTTCATTTTATTTTTAAAAGAGTTGTACTTCTGGTGTATAACTTTTCTTCCTCTTTGGGTAAGTTGTTTTATAGGTACATGATTTTGTGGCTAAACATGTAAATGGGAATTAAAATATTTCTTTAGTTCAGCTTTTGCACGTAGAAGTGCAACATCTTTTTGTATAGCTTTTTTGTAACCTATATAGGATTTTTTTTCTAATTTTTGTGGCATCATTATGTTTTTGTGTATATCATTATGCCATTTGCAACTATTGATAGATTCACAAAAGTTAATTTGCATATGCTGAAACTTCCTTTTGTTCTGGTATAAATTTCACTTGATTATCATGAATTATTCATTTAAAACATTGTTGAATTTCATTTGATGAGATTATATTGATGAAGTTTATATTCATATTCACAAGGGAGAGTGGTCTCTTTCTTATTAGTGATATCTGTCAACTTTTGCTTTCAGAGTAATTTTAAGCTCATAGTAACTGTTACAAATAATCCATGTTTCTTTTCCGGCAGATCTTCTTTGAATGTTAGGTAGAACTAATATTAAAACCATCTCAACTTCACCGTTTATTTTGGGGGAGTCTTGGATACTGATTTAATTTCCTTACTAGTAATATATCTATTTAGATTTCCTATTTACTTTTTATTCAGTCTCAGAAGTTGTGTTTCTAAAAATTCACCCATTTATTCTCTGTTCTACAAATTAATGATTAAGTTGTTTATAGTTTATTTTGAACCATTATAATTCAATAGTATCTATTGTAATTCTTCTCCTTTGACTTCTGATTTGATTTATTTGCTTTTTCTGGATTTTTTGAAAGTCTATCTAAGGCTTTGACAATTTTTTAATTTTTTTTCAAAGAGACATCTTAATTTCTTTGACATTTTATATTGTCTTTTTGATTCCTTTTGTCTTTATTTCTGCTCTAATTTTTGTACCTTCTATTTACTTCAGATTGCATTGTTATTTTTTCTAAAAATGTGAGATTAGAGGAGCCAGAGTGATAGTACAGTGGGTAGTGCATTTGCCTTGCAGACAAACAACCAGGGCTGAATCATATATGGGTCATATATAGTCCCTGTCGTCTGTGAGGAGAGACCCTTGAGAACAGAGATAGTAGTAAGCCCTGAGTATTGTCAGATGTGACCAACTCAAAAACTAAAAAAGCCATGGGATGAGAATAGATGTTTATTTGACCTTTTACTTTATCTCCTGTGGTAAGTCTATATTGGTATCAACTTCCTTTTTTGTACTGTTTTTGCTTTGTCCCAGGTGTTCTGAACGTTTATCTTTTGTCTTTGTTTTCAGGAATTCTTTTATTTTTTCTTTTTCTTGGGCTGGAGTGATAGCACAGCGGGTAGGGTGTTTGCCTTACATTCAGTCGACCCGGCCGACCTGAGTTTGATTCCTCCACCCCTCTTGGAGAGCCGGGCAAGCTACTGAGAGTATTTCGCCCACACGGCAAAGCCTGGCAAGCTACCCGTGATGTATTCGATATGCCAAACACAGTAACAACAGTCTCACAATGGAGACGTTACTGGGCCCGCTCGAGCAAATTGATGAACAACGGGAGGACAGTGCAGTGCAGTGCAATTTCTTTTTCTTGAATCAATAGCTATTCAATAGTGAATTACTTATTCTCCAAATGCCTTACTTTTCTTTAGCTTTATATTTACTATCATTATAATCTGATAATATACCTAGTCTTTTTCAATCTTCTTGACGTTGTTGACAATAATTTTGTGTCCAGCATATAGTGTTTAATGGAGACTGCTCTAGGTACACTGAGAAATATTTATTCAGCTTTAAAAGAAGGTGAAGAATCTTATACATATCTATAAGACCAGATCTTCCAATTTCTCATTTGTTCATTGATTTTATGACTGATGTCTGCTCCAATGTTGGAAGTGGGTTATTAAAATTTCGATTACCATGGTCCTGTGGATGTCTCTCTTCCTCTCTGTTAGTAGTCACATTATAAATCTCTTTTATTGGGTGTATATATGTTAATAAATGTTAAGTCTTCTTGATGTGTTTATCCCTTAACCAATACACATTGTCTATCCCAGTCCCTTATTACCTCCTATGTTTTGCATTCTATTTTACCTGTACAAGTGTGGCCATTCCTGCCTATTTTCAGACTGCCATTTAATTACATTAATTCCTCCCAGATTTTACTTTGATCCTGATATATATATGTATATATATGTATATACACATTTATCATTGGATTTCAAATGAGTAATCTGTGAGGAGCAAAAGATTAAATTTTGTTTCCACTACGTACTTTTTGATTACTAACTTTATTCCATTGACTTTTAAAGTCAAGACTTTTTGAATTACTATGAACTTGAGTTCTAGATTTACATTGTTTTAAATTTAAAGCAAATCAATTTCAAGTTTATTCTAGAAGATATTATTATTATGCCAGTTTCCCACACTTCATATATTTTAATGTATTTCTCTATTTCAAGATGTCTTTCTTTGATATTTATGTTTCTTACAGAGCCAGTTTAGGGCCCATAAATTTCTTTAGCTCTTTCCTGAAAAAAATATTTTTAACTCCCTAAAATATGTGAAAACCTAGTTAGAGGATTATTGTGGGAGATCATTTTCATTTCACACTTCAGATATATTATAACATTCCATTTTGGGTTTTCATTGATCTATCCTGCTGTAAGTCTTACAATGGTTCCCTTTTAGGTTTGTGATTTTCTTTTTCTGATTTTAGGATTTTATATATATATATATATGTATACTGCTCTCGTCCGGGATCTGGATTTTATAGTCTCTGAGTCTTGGCCGCTGATGGGATTACACGGCGCCAGGGGGCCAGGTGGTGGGTGTGACCCCCGCCTACTGGAATTTGGAGGATCTGGGTGGAAGATGCTCGACTCCAATTCGAGTAGGCTTGGAGGTCTCGGCCCCGGAACCCGCGTGGCTTTGTCCC